CCCCTAAATTTTCATCTATTTCCACATAGTACATGTTGACAAAGTACTGGATATTGCATCCATCAGAAGTGTCTGCCACGTTTCTTAGTTACTATAAACACAAACAAAATCATGTTGATTCTGTTAGTTTGAGCGATACTCCTTGGCTGAACTTAACGGGCATAACATAACCTTGGGGATTTCTGTCTTGAGGGATCCTGGGAGTCCGGGATGACTGGCGCTGAGTCCTGGCAGTTGTAATGACATTAGAAAATATTACTAGTGGACTATTTCACCACCAAACGAAATCTCTGGTATGCTGTGTCCTGAATTATCTGTTTTGGTTGGCCATTACCTATCTGGGGTTGAGGTGCGTGTTGGTAATTTTAAATAACAACTCCTGAATGTCTGCTTTTTCCCTGATGAAGGCATATTAGGATTTTAAATACATCATGATCAGTAACTTCCGGAAGCGTATTGCATTAGGTCCTACTTGGTGGTGTAGACATTTGTGGGTCATCCAATGGACTCATCCGAGTACCTAATGAAATATTTCAATAAATTGATGTTTTTACTAATACACTATGTACACAAGGTCACGCTTTGAATAATATGCAAGCAGGTTTAATGTTTAATTCAATTTACTAGTCATGAAAATGTGAAACCATTATGTATTTGTATTTGCAACAAGTCTACTTACAAGGCTTAGAGGTAGGTGGTGTTGCAAAAAGGTCCTCAGAAAAGTTTTTTCACTCGCATCAACGGCAGCCATGCAAGGAGACTACAATAAGAGCAATTAAGCTTTAGGTCTGTCTTGCTCAAGGACAGACATTTTTTGCCATTAGAAGGCAAGTGATTGAACCAGCAATGCTCCACCAGCTTTACTTAAGGGAAAATAAATAAATAAAATAACAATCAAAAAGCCAGCATCCATAACCAGTTAGTTTACAAAGGAGGTTAATGAACTCATCCATTTTTGAATGGAGCCTCTTCACCCACTTATTCCCACTGATATTTCAAGAATATTATTGGCATCAGTGATTGGTATTAATTTCGAAAGATACATAATCAATTCTGAAAAACAGGCTCATTAAAAAGAACAAATGTGGACATGACTAAAATAACTATTTTACTATGATGTTGCGTTTACCTGAGGCAGTGCAGCTTTGGAGGCTGTACCATATTTGTTGGGTGGCACAGGGAAAGTACAAACTGTAACATGAAAGGAATATATTAAAAGCTTGAAATAATGTAAATGTGATGTAAAAAATTATGGTTTTATCCAAAAGGTAATATTTCATAAACCAATACTATTCTATGCACAAGCATTCAATGGAAGAGCCACAGCAGTCTGACTGGCAAACAGCACAGAACCTGGACTGTTACTGCTCATTGAATATGTTACCATGCCATCCTATCAATTTTAATATAACAAATGAGGGGATTACAATAGCCTAGTTAGAAATGTCAATTTCAAAGATGTTCAATCTTCTGTTAACTAGTTTTACAACAACAACAACAATTAACGGCACAACTACCCTTGTGCTTATTTGGTGGTGGTGATAGCAGCAAGAACTCCAATGAGCTCATGTCTAAAATAAATCGGCCATGGTATTATCAAATGGTATAAATATGGCCATGGTATTATCAAATCACTTCTGAGATTTGGACATGCATCAACAAAGTGGTAATCGAAAGGTGAAAATAGTACCTTGGACATAGTCTTCATAACTTTTTGGTTTTGGTGCACGCCTCAGTCCTTGAGACATAATGGCCTGTGGATGGGACAAATTATTAATTTGTTATATGATCTTCACTCTCTGAAAAACCAATGCCAGTCCACTAATCAAATACAAGAATGACAAACTAGATTTTTTTAGATGCATCGGGCAAACATGTGCAAATCCCTGTGCATGTGGTAAACACACAGCCTTCCTATGCAGATCCTTTGCCTCCAAAAGCTTCCTCTTCGCTCTGCTAAGGTCACGGTCATCCACATATACGATGTTAATCAGCTTTGACTCACAAGGTAGATCAAATGGCTGCCTCGTGAACTTTGGATTGATAACATCCACAACCAACATTCCATTTTGCCACTTTTCCCTCACAAACACAAATTGCTCTGTCTCTAACATGAAGCGTTGATTTGGTGCCTTGGCCGATATGGAGTACGGCTTGCGCCTCCATTGCTTTGTGTGTTCCTGTGTGTTTGCCTTTTCTGCCAATCTTTCAGTGACCTGAGCGACTGGATTTTTGCAATCCAATTTTTTTATGGACTGGAGGTTGTTCTCTAATGGAAAGCAGGATAACTCATTCAAGGAGCACTTAAAGTTAAAAACATCATCAGCAATGTGTTTGACGGAGTGGATGTTGTATGTTGGGAGTGCAGAAAAGGTATCCACAACGTGTTCCAGCAGGTTTTGGGCATATTCCAGGTAGTGTCCTCTTCTGGCATCATTATCATCCAAGAGAATAGACATTCCAGACATTCCAACAATATCATTGGAATCACTTTCAGAACGATTTTTTCCAGCTGATGAACCCCATACAGAAGTCACACAGATTGAAATATTTTAATAATAAATAGATTTCCATATATTTAAATATCTTAAATTCAAATAGAATAAAATATATTTTATACAATATATGTAAATATATTTTGAAATATATATATTAAAATATATTTAACTATTTGATTTTGGCCACTTTTTAATATGTATCATATATTAAATATATGTAAATTATATTTTTTATCGGAAATATTTACATATATTTATTTCCTTTATATGTAAATACATTTAGATATGAGACTATGTAAATATATTAATTTGCAATATATGTCCATATATTAATTTCTAATATTTGTTAATATATTACATTTCTGTACATGTAAATATATTTTAAAACATTTAAATATTCAATTAAATAAACTTAAACATTTCATAGAATATATTGCCGTTTACTCCAACTTTATGTAAATAAATTAAATCTCCACACATGTAAATGTTTTCTTATAATTTGCCCCTTCATAATAGAATACAAACAAAATTTGGACACTGAAAAACTGTAAAACTCTCCAGACAATGTAACTTAAAAACAGTGACGATATAAATTGGGTAATACTATTGAAGCAATTAACATTATATTCTTAAATAAGATACATTCCCTATTCTTCCAATATTCAAGTTTTCATTATATCTAATATCAAGATATAAATTGACTTATTAATATAAATAGTACATTTATCAACACCAGTTCAGCATGAACCAACAAAAATTATGAATGTCCATGATGTTTCTGGCACATAAATGAAAGATTATCCTTCTGTAAGCATCCAGGGTCAAAATATCACTATGCACAAATATGCAAGTCTTAGTAGGCATTCAACACACTGTATTTAAATATTTAAGATCCATCATTAACTGTGCACAATTTCTCAACTAATCACATGCTCCACTATTGAACCAGAATCAAGCATTGTAATACTGTACATCAGCTAATCAGGCCCTTAACCAACCCACTTCCAATAATTAATTGGAAATCATATGCAAAAAAAAACAAAAACAAAACAATAACAATATCATGCCTGGGCTTCTTTCATTGCAGATTACATTGTTATGCCAGTAGGTGGGTCTTAATGAGTTAGTTAACCACTGAAAGAGTACTATGACAAAGATATCACTTTATGGATATACAGCAAATGTGGGGGGAATTATGATTCACACTGGTGCACTTATGAATAGATGTATTATAGCAAACCAAGTTTAATGAATCTCACACCTAACATACAGCATTATGGTCATTTCACACTGCCACAAAAACTATTTTTAAAAAAATGCTTATTTTGTTTTGTTTGATCAGTTCATTCACCCTGTTGGAGTATGGCAAGTGTGAAATGGCTTTTAGGTGCTTTGGGGGAAAAAATGAATACAATTCAAACATTAACAATAATTACCATACTGCCAGACTGAAATTTAGTCTTTTGTGAACAGTTTTCAAGAGTGCAAATTAGGGATGTCAAAAAAAAAAAATCGAATTTCGAATATTCGTCGAATTTTAAATAAAAATCCACATTTGAATGCAAAAACATTGCATTCGAATTTTAAGTGTGCGTTAAGGATGCAGCCTTATCAGCGGCGCACGAGATGCGATGACGATGTGTCGCTGCATAATGTTTCATATGCAAAAAAAAAACAAAAAAAAACAATAACAATATCATGCCTGGGCTTCTTTCATTGCAGATTACATTGTTATGCCAGTAGGTGGGTCTTAATGAGTTAGTTAACCACTGAAAGAATTATAAGCAATGTTTATGATAATGACTACAAAATTAACAATATTTTTCTTCAGCATGTAGCTGATGTAGCAATTGTGCATTTATTATTATGATTTTAATGATATTGCTACATAATATCCAGTATGAGACAAAAAGGAAAACATATTGTTTGGTGTTGATAAATACTTGAGCCTTACTGATGCGGCTAGCTACAAAATGAGGAAGAAATTAAGGATGACAGAATAATCAGACAGCTTACATACATTTTAATAGGCCACAGATGCATTTTTGTGGGGGTTTATTTCAGTCATTGTTGTCGACACTCTGCAGTATTGAATGACAAGTATCAAATGTAGGTAATGAATTTTAAAGCCTCACAAGTTTCAAAAAGGCTAAACACATCAAAGATTTAAATTAAATTGTATTAGCCTAGATTAGCATATTTACTCTGCTGTATCCTTATGTTACCTTGAATGACTGTAATCAACCAGGCAAAACAGCTCAGCCGATTTATCATATTACATAAATATGAACTGTTTTAAAAATGTGAACAGTTGCAGTTTATAATTAACACTGAAACATTACCTTTCCGAAACGATCCATTAAACAAGTTGCGACTGAGCGTGCATTAATATTTTCTGTTCCATTCGTTTGCGCGTTGTCTCAAGGACATGCCCACAATATAGAAACTCATGAATATTCACCCATTGGAACCAAATATTTCAGAAACTGCATAATACACAACATCGGCCATGCAAGCAGAAAACTAAGACGCAGAGCGCGCTGGTAAATCTCTCCAAATACAGGTGCGTTCAGAGTCTGACGAGTCACTTGTTCACAGCTGTGATTTTGTGAGTGTATTTAGCTCTTTTTTGAGAATTTATTCGAGCTTTAGCTTTTTATGACTTTTAGAGTCTCGATGTTTGTTGTAGTTTCGGTTTTGCTGAATCCACCTAAACGGAGCATAAAATGGGTTGTATCTCTTATAATATATAATGTAAGTACTCAATAAATGTTTCGTTCGACAATTTGTCTTTAGCATTACGTTGTAGACTAATGCATATTATTTTTACGTCACAATTTTAAACCAGCTGCATTTCTGCTCAGACCTTTTTTTTTTCCAAAGAGATCGTCGATTTTTCTTAGATTTACAGGACGTTGGGATCATATTTATCAGCCTCTCATCACAACGCGGCAGTTTTAAGTATTTTAAACAATATACGTTATGCTAAAAAGAATACTGGATATCATTACTGGATATTGATGCATAACAGCTGAACTTTTATGAAATATCCATCAGTAGTTTTTATAGAACTTTAGTAAGTAGAACTAAAACTAAAGCAGCCATGTAGGCACAGAACGCTCCCCTAACATTCGTTTTTGGTTCCCGTTTGGTTATGTTTTGGGAATAATGCTAAATGCCAAATGCTTATAGGGGAACGTTCTTTTTAGGTTATATTTTTTGTAACCATAAAATAAAGTTCCCAGAACGTTGCATTGTGGTTATTTTTAAATAACCTAAAAAGAACTTATAGAGAGCGTTCCCTAATGGTTATTTTTAGGTTATTTTTTGCAACCATAAAATAACGTTCCCAGAACGTTGCAGGGTGGTTATTTTTAAATAACCTAAAAATAATACAGAACGTTCCCTAATGGTTATTCTCAGGTTATTTTTATAACCCTGTAAAACTATCTTTCCAATGAAAACGTTGCAGATGTTAAAGGGGTCATATGATGCAATTTCAAGTTTTCCTTTCTCTTTGGAGTGTTACAAGCAGTTTGGAGGGATTTAAAATGCCTAACTGAAGAGAACATGATGTTAAGCAAACACTTCAGTGGTAAGAAATGAATGTACTGATCTCCTACTTTAAGTCAAGTAATTTTTTATTCTTTTTTTATATATATATATCTGTGAATAGATGTCATATTTTATGAACCATACATTGTGCTGAAGTCATTTTTATTTGGTGCTGAAGAAATGTAAAATCTGGGTACTCCGTGCATATTAATGGACAGATTTAATCTTATTTAATCTTACATATGATGGCTGATGTGCTCAGAATATTTTTATTGCTTAAACAATAAATAAAAACAAGATGTGGTTTTTATAATACTGATTAGGCTTCCATACAGATAATTTCCAAGCCGCTTATACTATACTGGGTCACGAGTGTGCTGGATGATGAATAATTATCACATTTCTTTTCACATTCATCTTGATTGAAGGGGCTAATTTGCTGATTAAAGAGCGAAATCAACCTGTATGTTACATACCAAAGCAAATGAATGTACTACAACTGAAAGCATGAATTGAATAAATACACGCCACTTGCTCATTTCAATCAAGTCAAAATAACAATTTGTTCTGGGAACCAAAAACTAAACGTTCCGAGAATGTTCTGGGAACCAAAAATTGTTAGCTGGGTATTAATTAAAATGGTCATAAACAAAATAATTATCACATTCCTTTTCACATTCATCTTGATTGAAGGGGCTAATTTGCTGATTTAAGAGCGAAATCAACCTGTATGTTACATACCAAACCAAATGAATGTACTACAACTGAAAGCATGAATTGAATAAATACACGCCACTTGCTCATTTCAATCAAGTCAAAATAACAATTGGTCAGACATGTGAGACCCACTATAATCCCACCCAATGACTAAACCAAAGGAACACGAATAGTGCATTTATAAACTAATAAACTGTTGTGTTCTCTCTCTGTCTGTGTGCTCATACAGTGAAATGGCAGAAGCCAATATTTCAGTGGATCTGGACCAGTTCAGCTGTTCAGTGTGTCTGGATCTGCTGAAGGATCCAGTGACGATTCCCTGTGGACACAGTTACTGTATGATCTGCATTACAAACTACTGGAATCAGGACGATCAGAAGGGAATCTACAGATGCCCTTTATGCAAACAAATTTTCACAACAAGACCAGTTTTAGGCAAAAATGTGGTGTTTGCTGAAATGGTGGAGGAACTGAAGAAGACGAGACTCCAAGCTGCTGGTTCTGCAGTTCATCACGCTGGATCTGAAGATGTTCAGTGCGACTCCTGCACTGAAATGAAACAGAGAGCAGGGAAATCATGTCTGGAGTGTCGAAGCTCTTACTGTCAAAATCATCTTGAACAGCATGAGAATCTCTTCAGAGGTAAAAAACATAATCTGATTGATGCCAATAGACGCCTGCAGGAGATGATCTGCCCTCGACATAACAAAATGTACTGAAAATGTACTGCTGTACTGACCAGCGCTGTATCTGTATGCTGTGTTTGGTGGATGAACACAAAAATCATGACACTGTATCAAATGCAGCAGAACGGGGGCCCAAACCCCCGGCCCCCGCAATCATATTTGAGGTGGGGCAGCCCAAACTCCCAGCCCCCGTAAGCATATTTGAGGTGGGGGGACCCAAACCCCCGGACACGGCCCCGCCCCCGTAAGCATATTTGGGGTGGGGGAGACCAAACTACCGGCCCCTGTCCCTGTAAGCATATTTGAGATAGTGGGACCCAAACCCCCAGCCTCTGCAAACATATTTGAGATGGTGGGGCCCAATCCCTCAGCCCCTACAAGTATATTTGAGGTGAGGGGGCCCAAACCCACGGCCCCCGCAAGCATATTTGGGGTGGGGGGGACCAAACCACCGGCCCCCGCAAGCATATTTGAGATGAGGGGAGCCAAACCAGTGGTGGGGCCCAAAACACCAGACCCCGTAAGCATATTTGAGGTGGGGAGACCCAAACCACCAGTCCCCACCCCCGTAAGCATATTTGAGATGAGGAGCCCCAAAAGCCCGGCCCCCCCAAGCATATTTGAGGTGGTGGGGCCCAAAACACCAGCACCTGCAAGCATATTTGAGGTGGGGGGACCCAAACCCCCGCCCCCCGTAAGCATATTTGAGGTGAGGGGCCCCAAAAGCCCGGCCCCCGCAAGCATATTTGAGGTGGGGGGACTCCCCACCTTTGTAAACCTATTTGAGCTGATGGAGTCCCAACATAAATCCTTTTACTGTGATTTACGTAAACACTTTATTTTGAAAAATTATAATCTACTGAAGTAAAATGTTTGGCAGTTAAAAATGTTTAAATGGCCTGTTGTTTGCAAAGATTTGCCCATCTGTTTGTTAGCTTGGTTTGTCTTAGGTTTTTGTTTGTTAAATGGAGACAGATTATGTGTCCCTACTGAAGTCTAGCATTTTCATTAGATGTTTTTTAAACATTCAAAAGTATGTTAAATGAATGTGTGACAATTTAAAGCCTGAATAAAATATCCCTCAATGTTGCAGTCTGCTTTTCACAATGTTTGTAAAATGTTTTAATTCGGTTAAAATCTCCTCCCTTTTTTAACTAAAATATTCAGTATATACAGAACTTCACAGTATTATTTAAAGCACTGTATGTTCTACAGGGGTTTATGAATGTGATTGGAGAGATTTTTAAAGAGGATAGAGAAACTATGATCATAATGTTTTCAGTAATGCGGACAAACAACATCCCCCGTAAGCATATTTGAGGTGGTGGGACTCAAACCCCTGGCCCCCACAAGCATATTTGAGGTGGGGGGACCCAAAACCCCGGCCCCCATAAGCATATTTGAGGTGGGGGGGCTCAAACCCCCGGCCCCCGTAAGAATATTTGAGGTGGGGGGGCCCAAAACCCTTAGCCCCCGCAAGCATATTTGAGGTGGGGGGACCCAAACCACCAGCCCCCGCAAGCATATTTCAGGTGAGGGGCCCCAAAAGCCCTGCCCCCGTAAGCATATTTGGCGTGGGGGTGGACCAAACCACAGGCCCCCACTCCCGCAAGCATATTTGAGGTGGGGGGACCCAAACCCCCGCCCCCCCGTAAGCATATTTGAGGTGGGGGGACTCCCCACCTTCGTAAACCTATTTGAGCTGATGGAGTCCCAACATAAATCCTTTTACTGTGATTTACGTAAACAAAAATGTTTGGCAGTTAAAAATGTTTAAATGGCCTGTTGTTTGCAAAGATTTGCCCGTCTGTTTGTTAGCTTGGTTTGTCTTAGGTTTTTGTTTGTTAAATGGAGACAGATTATGCGTCCCTACTGAAGTCTAGCATTTTCATTAGATGTTTTTTAAACATTCAAAAGTATGTTAAATGAATGTGTGACCATTTAAAGCCTGAATAAAATATCCCTCAATGTTGCAGTCTGCTTTTCACAATGTTTGTAAAATGTTTTAATTCGGTTAAAATCTCCTCCCTTTTTTAACTAAAATATTCAGTATATAATGACCTCACAAGATGCAGCTCATCTAGTTATTATAGGCCTTTCTTTGTCTTACACTATCTGCAGTTGTTTTAAAGATTAAACTGCAGATGTGTTTTTGTATCTGTAGTGAAAACTGTCCGTGTCGTTCAGACTCCTGAATATCAGACCAGAAAGGAGTTCCTACAATGTAAGTTACTATAAAAACACACACAAGTCTAAAATCCAGTCCAGTGGTGTTTATTCTTTTTCACTAAATTAATGGTGTGATTCAATTTAAGACTGATTTAAAAAAGAAAACACAAACATGGGCTGCAACAAATAACTGAACATAATCTTAAGCAATTGTCATTATGGATTAGTTGCATCTGTGACACTGAATGAAAAACTTTATTAGTGATGGATCCATTAATCACTTTACAGTACAAACTCTGAGCGCAACAAGTTTTAACGTAATACATTTTGATAGAATGTATGTGGATTGACAAGACAATTAGGTTTATATTTTACATAAATCATATTTGACACTGTCACCAGTTCACCAGCTCCTTTCACCATGCCTGTCACGAGACCAGTCATCTCAGCACACTCCATTTCCCATCATCCCCTCTGGCTACCACCTGTGCCCCCTCCACAATCCCCCCCCCTGTCTGCCATCAGCCTCATCAGTTCCTCTACATAAGCCAGCACCAAACACACATGGTTGTCTGGTCCTGTCATTCAGTATGGAACTACTTATCTGTTGATTACTTAACAGTGCATTGAACTGTCCCAGCCGTCGTCTTCTTCTGTCATCTGTGTATCACCATCGGTCTACCTATAGCCCTTCAGCAACTCCTCTCCAGAACCTGCACCACAGATAAGACTATCATTCTCACGCCAGTATCATCGCAGTCACGATCTGCTAACCAGAAACTCACCTGCTCTTTGCCAGAGTCTGTTGTTCAAATAAAACTGTTCAGACGATTACCTGTGTTTGCATTCTGTTCAGTGACAGACACTTGTAATGTGTCTAAACATTTCCGTCTGTCTGTCCGTCTATCTATCCGTCTGTCCTTCCGTCTGTGTCTGCCCGTCTATCTATCCGTCTGTGTCTGTCCGTCCGTCTGTCTGTCCGGCCGTCCGTCTGTGTCTGTCCGTCTATCTATCCGTCTGTGTCTGACTGTCCGTCCGTGTCTGTCTGTCCGTCCGTCCTTGTCTGTCTATCTGTCCATCTGTCCGTCTGTGTCTGTCCGTCTATCTATCCGTCTGTGTCTGTCTGTCCGTCTGTGTCTGTCCGTCTGTCTGTCCGTCTATCTATCGTCCGTGTCTGTCCGTCTGTCCGTCCGTCTATCTGTCCGGCTGTCCATCTGTGTCTGTCCGTCTATCTATCCGTCTGTCCGTGTCTGTCTGTCTATCTATCGTCTGTGTCTGTCTGTCTATCTATCGTCTGTCCGTCTGTGTTTGTCTGTCTGTGTCCGTCCGTCCATCTGTCCGTCTGTGTGTCTATCTATCTGTCTGTCCGTCTCGGTCTATCTGTATTAAGAGCACTGAACTTTCTGTAGGGGTTTAGGAATGTGGTTGGGTGAGATCTGAAAGAGGTTAGAGAAAATGATAAAACATGATTAAAATGCTGGAAATTTACTGCAGTACCGACCAGAGCTGTATCTGTACGATGTTGTTTGGTGGATAAACACAAAAATCATGACACTGTATCAACTGCAGTGGCAAGAGCAGAGAAACCGGAATGAACTGGACAACTTTTACAGTTAATCTTGATGTGGTTGTGATAACTACAGAATTAATCGTAATTATAAAATTGAGGTTTGTGGCTTTACTGGCACAAACACGAACAGGAATGTGTTGGCACATGCCAAATACACTCTTTCAGGGTTCGTATAAGTTTAGTCCTTCATGATGTCATAAAGGGCAGAATTCCTTGTATGGGCAACTTCTCCTACAAGAGCACGCACACATCAAACAGGGGCGTTTCCCAGCTGTGGTCGTTAGTTCCACTGAACTCTATTGGTAACGACAGAACTTGTGACCATAGTTGCTTTTGGGAAACTCATCCCAGAGCAGATTGAGAGCAGCCTATCAGCGTGCTTCATTCGGTTCGGGAAGACGTCGGCAGCGCTGCACAGGACTTGCTCCAGAAGGATTTGTCTTTGTTTTTAGACCGCAAAAACTACAATGTCACCAAAGAAATGTGTTTTTGGTTGCCAAAGAACCCAGCGTGAAGGGAACAGTGGATGCAGTTTTTTTTGTTTTTGTTTTTTCTTCTTCTCCGGGGCAGCAACTGAGTTGTGCACATGTGTTTGTTTGTTCCCGGCATTTCGACAAACAAATGAAATAAATAATTGTAAGTTTTTGTTCCAGTTTTATTTGTCGATGACACAGGCAGCTTGCAGACGATCTCTACGCAAAAACTTTTTGGGACTCTTTAGCTCCGCCCACGACATGCCTCCAGTAGCTCGACTGTTTTCAGAGAGAATCAAAGCTGTATCTTTCTTTTATAAATTTGATCAAACTAAAGACTCTTCAGAGATATGAAGGATGCAATACTACTCTATAGGTACTCAAGAAATATCCTCAGCTGAACAGACTGGTCACACTTCCATGTTCTGTTAAAAACGGGGAAAAATTACATGATTGGTAAATGTGGAGGCTTGAACTTTTTTAGTTTGTTTTTTTGACATTTTACAGATAAAAAAAGAGCTCTAAACTCTAACACAAAGGGATGTTATGGTTCTAAATAGAACTGTTAGTAAGAGTAAAGAACCTTTTTAAAAAAAAAAGAAGTTTTTTTTTATTAGAGTGTGGGTCCTTACAACAGAGCATGTTCATGTCCATTTCTTCTTCTGACAGAAACTTCCGTCAAGGTAGCACACGTCACAAACATCTCATTCAAATGGGATGAACGGTCCACAAGAATGTTGGAAAAATGTTTCACAGGAAATAGAAACACATGTGATTATTACAATCAAAGTTGATTAACAAATTATGACCCTGAGTTGCAAGCATAAATGTAATTTAGCCCATTACAGTGTGTGGTAAGTCTGAATTTGAGAGCATCTCATTAAGTTTGGGGTTTCTGATCTTTAAAGTCTCTGATATCCAAACAGTTTTTGTGCATAACAGAAGCAAGAAGATTTCTAAAACAAACACAATAGAGTTAGGTTTCTTAGGACATCAACTTCCATTTAACATGGAAGAAAGAGCTTTGTGCATCCCACCTGGAACAGGTGAATATTAATCGAACTGACCACCATTAACTGAATATAAAAATGCAGTATATGTAGGTTTCATTTCCTGTTGGCATGAGAATTAAACTGCAGATGTGTTTTGGTGTCCGTAGTGAAAACCATTCAGATCATTCAGACTCCTGAATATGAGACCAGGCAGGAGTTCCTACAATGTGAGTTACTAGAAAAACACACACACACACAGCCTTTTCTGTAGCAATTAAACAT